TCTAGCCTTGCTGGCAGTATGGCTTGCTCTATACCTAACTGCAGTTGGCCCTCCCAGCCTAGTCTTGGTCCACACTTGGCTGGCAATGACAGAGATGTGTAGAAGTATTCACAAATATATTGGGCAGCTTTTGATTACAGGTCTCTTTGGGGAGAAATATTTTTGTTTCCTTCTTGTCTGTCTGTCTTCTTGTCTTGCTTCTTTAACCTACCCAGGGGACTGTGAAACAATAAAATGCTCTAGAAATACATTTTAGAAGAATTAAACACCTTATCAGTGACATTATAACCTCTGTTATAGAAGGATTAGACCTGAAGGAATCTCAGAGAGAAACTAGGAATCACCTTTCCTACATTAAAGACTTATGCTGTTGGATGGATTCCATTTTGGTTATGCCACTACTGAAGGCCAGCTCTGATTGGGCATGGAGGGGATGGCATCCTGAGCCCCAGTGTGGCTAGTGTCTTCTCTTCCTCCTCTCTCTCTCTTTTTTTTTTTTTTTTTTTAAGTAGGCTCCACACCCAGCATGGGGCTTGAATTGAGGACCCTGAGACCAAGAGTCAGGTGCCCTGAGAGCTGAGCCAGCCAGGCACCCCTCTTCCTCCTCTATTACCACTGATGTCTTAACCATACACAAGTATTTAGCTGTTAATTGTGTTGTTTGCCCTTTATACAGAGCAAATTCTCAATAGGCATTTCTTAGATGAATGAATGGAAAAATACCAAATACTAGCCATTTTTTTTCATTTGGCTAATAATCTATTACATACGAGTACTCACAGTCCTTATCTTCCAGGGGTTCACAGCCAGTATGGTTGGGGAAGATGTTCTCACATGTAATTATACTTTGTGTGTTGTGTGACAAAGTGCTCCAGGGACATGGAGGGTGATGCTACAGACACATTGTTGGGAAGGAAACCTAAGCAACTAGTATAGATAGGGAGCCAAGGCATGCTAACATTCCGCCTGGCCTTTAGGCATATATGATGAGTCTGCAAGGGATGCTCAGGGGGCCAGGGCTTCTTTAGATTCACACACACATGTACACAGGCAGAGCTACATGCTGGGGACAGAGGAGGCTGGGGTAACAGGTGCTTCCTCCTCAGGGAGACTTGGTTCACTTGCACTTGCTTCCTGGTGGAGCCAGGTGGCCTGTAGAACTGTTCGACACCACCCAAGATGGGCTACACATACTCCTAGATACTGCTTGGACTTTACGCATTTGGATGAAGTGGGAGTGTTTTGTGGTCTCATACTCTGGCCTATCTGGCTGCAACTATACTAGGCCTGGGGGCAAGGGCACTGGAGATGGGGTCTGTACAACGAATAATAGAAAGGTGGCTGGGCCTCTACCTAGCACATCACTGTCATGTTATGTCAGTCTTAGTACCTCTGAATGCTACTAACATTACTTATCAGCAAGCTGCCTACCTAGTTGGTGATTTTAGTTTTGCTTTATCCCATGACAAATCTGGAGTTCAGTTCTTGGGGAGGTCAAAGCTGAAGGATCTCGGAGCTCAGAGTTTGCTTCTCTATTACTCCCAGGGTTGGGGGCTGGCCCCATGAGCCCTTACTCCTTAGGCCAGAACTTCTGTTTGTGCTCACAGCTCCCAATTCAGTAGTGCCTGATGCAAAGCATGTGTGTGGTAACTTGTGTGACCAGCTGGAGTTAGGCTTTATTTTAATGCCACCCCAGGCTCACCTCCATGTGTGAAAGCATGCTCTTCTAGCATATTTTGTGATTTAATATAATAAAAATCTGCCAAGTTCAGGGCTCTACGGCAGGGATCCCTATCCATTCTTCATAGGTCCATGCTAGGTTCTTGTAAGGAAATCTTTAGGCAGTGTTTTTTACTTAGTATTATCCAAAAGTTTAAACTTAAGAGATTTATTGAACTGATAGGGACAGGAATGCTTCTCTGAAAATAAACTTGTTTTACTTATTTATGTATTCATTTATTTATTTATATTTAATACAAAATTTTTAATGTTTATTTTTGAGACAGAAACAGAGTCCAAGCGGGGGAGAGGCAGAGAGAGAGGGAGACACAGAATGGGAAGCAGGCTCCAGGCTCTGAGTTGTCAGCACAGAGCCCGATGCAAGGCTGCAACCCACGAACTGTGAGATCATGACCTGAGCTGAAGTCGGACACTTAACCAACTAAGCCTCTTATTGAGGTTTAATTGACCAATAAAATTGTAAAATATTTAAAGTGTACATCGTGGTGACTTGATGTACATCTACATAATTTTATCAGATTTAATGCTTTCAAAATAAAATAAAACCAATATTTCTGGAAAAACTGCTGAAATGGAAGCTTCTGAATTTGAGTAGCAGCAGGGTCCATTCCCTTCTCAGAAGGCCTGTGGCCTAAATGCTGCTGCCTGCTCCTAGATCAGTCAATATCCTGCAGCCATTTAAACTAAAGGCTAGGACCTCACGCAGGCTCACTGGGATTCCTTTGCTCACTTTTTTTTTTTTTTAACTTTTTTTTTTTAATATATTTTTTTAAATTTATTTCTAGGAGAGAGAGAGAGAGAGACAGCGTGAGCAGGGGAGGGTCAGAGAGAGAGGGAGTCACAGACTGAAACAGGCTCCAGGCTCCGAGCTGGCAGACAGCACAGAGCCCGACGCGGGGCTCGAACCCACGAACCGCGAGATCGTGACCTAAGCGAAAGTCGGACGCTTAACCGACTAAGCCACCCAGGCGCCCCTCCTTTGCTCACTTTTACTTGTTCATTTAAGCTGCTGATTCATGATGGGGCGGGGTGGGTGCAGGTCAGAGCCAGTAGCGGTTTCATGGTCCAATGATAAGGAATGTTTATGTGGAGGAGTGTGTGTTCCTATGTGTTGGGGGGAAGATGTCTGGTTTCTTGGGGAGGAAGAGGTGGTGTTAACTGGCTTTATTCTGATTCTTCCTGAAGGAGAGAGAGTTGGAAAGGACTTTCAGTTAAGGGAAGCAGGCAGCTTGAGGTCCTAGGAGGATATGCCAGCCGGGGTCAGCTACACTGAGGGCTCATAAGTTCCCATCCTTGGCAGCCCCAGGCATAAACTGAGAGGGAAAAAAAAGTGGGTGAGTAGGAGTGAGTCACCAGGCAGCTTGGTGGGGAAGAGATTGAAGTCCTTACAGGAAGTCCTGGGTTCCCATCTAGGAGCCTCACCAGAGAATGTGGCCTGGGCCACACTGACTGACCCTTTACAGGAAAGGGGAGGGTTGTAACAGAAAGTCTGTGCTCAGGTCCAGCTTGTAGGTCCTACAATCTCCTAAGTCCCTAGACTTTCCAAAGTAGTTATCTCTGGATGTGGGCCATGGGATATGATGATTCTTGGGGTCTCTGTTCTGTGTTTAGCTCCTAGAACAGGACCTGGCCCATCTTGGGCACTTGGCTATCTGGCTTCAGCTCCTACTCTCCCCCTGAAACTCTACTTGATGAGGAATATTCAATCCATTATCACTTGCCCCATGAACCATTCTTCATGAAATATCCTTTTTCATGGCTCCTTGACTCCATCCTTGTTCTCCCAGCTATGCCTGTTACCTGACCCAGGGTTTTGAATCCATAGACCTCAGGCCTGACTTTTTTCTTGCTACTCTCCCCAGGTGATCTCATATTCTCTGATGGCTACTTACTGTCCCCTTGGCTAGACCTTTGTTTCCAAGCCATAATCCTTTTCTGGGCTTCTTGTAACCACCTGCTCCAGATATTCCATCTGGATGTCTCATGCAAAATGTCTGAATCTGAATACACTCTCCTCCCCAAATCTCCTTGCCCTTGTGTTGTCCAACTTAGTGAGTGACGTCACCTTCCCACCTCCGACCCTTGCACACTGTCCTCCCTGCCTGTCCACCCCCCATCAGCTCATTCCTCAGCTGACTGCTTCTTGACCTCTTCAGCTTCACGGTCATTTCCTCCAGGAGGGAAGCATGATCCTCCCAAATGGGCCTGGCTCTCCTGTTCTCAAAGTACCCTGTACTACCTCAGAGCTTTTAGTAATTCTGTATTATCTCTTTCTATCTTCCTGAGGACTGCATTCCTGAAAGTAACAGAACGTATGGCCCAGGACTGAATGATGAGCCCACATCCTGGACTGGGTGACACTGCTAACATGTTTCTGCATCTTTGCCCAAGCAGAACTTGCATCTAAGCCCTGCAGAAGCCCCCGTACTGGCGATAGGAAGTGGCTCCAGATCTGTCTCAAAAGATTGACAGCAGAGCCAACATATGGGAGAGGTTAGACCCAAACCACGCCTGAGAAGCAGTCACTGGCCTCTAAGATAAGCCCCTACCCTGAGCCTGACCAAGCAAGCAATTCCAACTGTTAAGTGCCATGCAGTACACAGAAGGGCCAGTTGTATACTCTTGTCACTCTTTTTTTTTTTTTTTTAATGTTTTATTATGTTTGAGAGAGAGAGACAGTGTGAGCAGGGGACAGTCAGAGAGAGAGGGAGACACACAGAATCTGAAACAGGCTCCAGGCTCTGAGCTAGCTGTCAGCTCAGAGCCTGACGTGGGGCTCAAACCCATGAACCCTGAGATCATGACTTGAGCCGAAGTCAGACGCTCAACCGACTGAGCCACCCAGGTGCCCCTCTTCTCACTCTGAATACACTGAATACGGGAGAGGTAACAACCAGTAAGGGCAGCATCAGAGCAGACATAATAAGCCTGGGTTGCAACATGCAAAGATCTGTCAAAGTAATGGAAAATAACTTTGTAAAAGTGCATGGGCTTACAACTGTGAGGCCACAAATTCTGAATATGAGTGTGAATCCACAGTGTTACTTATTTATTTTTTTGTCAATGTCATTTCATGCCTAGCAGATACTTAGGAAGTAGAGGCCGTACTGTATATCCTGGCCAAGGGAAAAACACCCGGACAGGAGTCAGGCTTCCCACACAGGAAAGAGTAGATTCTACACACTGCAAACAAAAGCATAGGGAATTGAGGCTTGGTTACTTGGGAAGATGTCCCCAACTGACATAGGATATATACTCAGTTTTGCTGATACCCAACACTTTATTAGTGAAGAGCCTTGGTGTGGGAAGGGGGTGCTGGGATGGATAAGCGCCCAACTCGGGATTCTCCTGGAAATCAGGCGTTCCTCTATGCAGATTTCGAGGAAACACCGTCATGGATGAAATCCCCAGAGAGCGGTGCTGTGACAGCAAAGCAGCAGGGATAAGAAGGTTGCCCTAGGCACAGCCGGGCCCCTGGGACAGCAGGACTTCGATGTCAGGCTCAATGTCGATGGTTGGAAAGCGGCGGCTGTACCTGCGCACAGGCACACCATCTGGGCCCACCAGGAACTTCTCAAAGTTCCAGGCGACGTCGTTGCGGCACACTGGCGACCAGGTGATGAACTTTGGGTCGGTCATGAGCGCAGTGGCGTCGTCACTGGGGGCAGGCAGAACCTCGCGCAAGAAGGCGAAGAGGGGGTGCGCCTGCGCGCCATTTACCTCGCACTTCTCAAAAAGTGTGAAGTTGGGCTCGAACCCGCCGCCAGGTCGGACGTACTTGAGGGAATTCAGGATCTCTTCGTTTTTAGCATTTTCCTGCGGGAGGGAAGAGCAGCTAGAACCCGGGGCCGCGAAGGGAGGGGAACGTTCGGACCGCAAACCAGAAGTTTCTCGATGAGTCACAATTCCTAGACGGACTGAAACCCAGCCGGGCCAAAAGCGAGTAGCCCGCCTCTCTCCTGCCAGGGCTTGCTGCTGTGGGGCCCACGCGCCCGCTGGCGCTCCCCCAGCCCGGGTCGCACGCCCACCCCGCTCTGCCCCGCGCGGCGCACCTGATGCCCGAACTGGTTGCATGGGAAGCCGAGCACGACCAGACCCCGGGGCCCGAGGCGCTGCTGCAGCTCGTTCATCTGGGTGTAGTCCCGGACGGTTGTGCCTCAGAGCGACGCCACATTCTCGATGAGCAGCACCTTGCCCCGCAGGGAACCCAGGCTCATGGCCTCCCCGCCGGCCAACGGGCGCGCAGAAAATGAGTACACGGAGCGCGGGGCCGCAGCCGCGAGGGCAGCGGCCGCGAGCGGAGCAGCGCACATGGCGGACTGTCGGACAGGAGAGCAGACGACGAGTGAGGAGCTTCGGCTGGGGACAGTGCAGACTGTGGGGTCACGTGGTGCAGGCACTTTTCCGGCCGCTTCTCCACCCTCCGCCCCGCCTCATCCGGCCTCCTCCCTCTCTCCAGCGGCGCGGGAGGGTGCGGCCGGGCCGGATGCGGACACCGCCCAGGCAGTGCAGAGCCGCAGGCAGGCTGGGTCTCGTCTAACCAAAGCAGCGGCATTTGCGCGAGTTACCCAACCCGGGCCTCAGGTCCAAGAGCGCTCAGATTCTTTCTTAAAGGTTTTTAGTGAAGGGTTAGGGCAGGGCCCAGCGGGACTGGCCAGCAACAGCAGCTGGCGCCGCCCCTGGCCACACAGGCCTCCCAGCATAAACCGTATCCCGACTCTTGTAGTCTGTGCCCTATTGTCACCAGGGGCACAGAGCAAGTTGTAACCTGCCGAGGTGGTGCAGTTGGCAGTGCCTGCCAAGGCAAGTTCTCTGCGATGAGGCGCTGTGGCTCTAGAAAGGGTAAGTTGGAGAAAAGTGGACAACGCCCGGGACAACCAGGGCCCAGGCTCCAAAATGCAGCTCTAACTCATTTCCCTGTGTTCTGGGGCAGCCTGGAGCACCTTCTCATCCACATCACCAGTGTGGCACTGCTCTTTTCACTGCTTTTCCCAAGGAGCCACGTGGACCCAGCAGACTTCAGGCCATCTTCCATACCTAATCATCTTAACCCCACGCTAAGGTCTGTAAGTATTAGACACTGAAAATGGACAGGAAGAGAAAAATACCACACTAAGATTCGTCCAGAGGAATGAATGCTTGGAGTTCCCCTCACTCTCTTCAGTACCCTGCATTCCCCACACTAAGCCACTATGAACTTAAATGTGACACAAAACAATTGTTTCCACCTTCTTAGGAGGAGCCAGGTTAGTGCCAGTTTGGGGGGTAAGGTGGGGGGGCAAATGAAACATATTTTGCAGTCTGAAGGAACCTTCCAAGGACAGCTGGGTACATCCTGGGTATATCCTCCCGCTCCCAGCCCTGGAGAGAGCAACACAAACACGAGGATACAGGAAGTTTAGAAAACTGCCTTTATTCTATTAGTAGTTGGAAAAATTAACTGGTACAGAAAAAAAGTTTAGTCAGCTGGAGAGAAGAGAGAAACGGAGTGCCGCCCAAGAGAACTGGCGGCTCCTCTGGGAGGGAACCTGGATACAGTGAGGAAAGGGAGCCTGTGAACTAGAGCCAGAGCCTGCAGTCCAGATGAGACAGGCTATGCCACCTTCTGAAGTGTCTAAGTGCCTCAGGCATGAAACCAAATTCCTATTTCTTTAGCCCAGCTCTGGGGAGAGGATACTAGGATACGTGGGGCCGAAAACAGGTGATATGGCCATCTTTTATCAGAGAAACTGACAAAACGGGAATTTGAAAAATGAATTTTCCATCTGACTTTATTTTCAAATACACTTTCTTTTTTAAAAAACCAATACACTTTCTGCAAGGATGACAAATATCAGTATTAGGAAATCCAATTATACAAAAAATACTACATCTAGTCTGGGGTAGATATATTTATTTTTTGGTAACATACATTAAGTGGCACTAATTACACAGTAACTATAAGGTAACTAACATGAAACCACAGAACTGTAACTCTGCCACAGCTGCATGGACTTGGGTCTTTCTGGATGAGCACATTTTCAAAAATTGGATGCCCATCACAGAGTTATGCCAATATCTGTTAAGGAGTAAAGCTCTGAAGTAGTGACTCACCAGAGTACCTTGCAGCTGACAGATGACAGGCAGGACATGTTAGTTATAAAGTAGTTACAGCCTAATTCACAAAAGTTACCAACTGTTTCTCTTTCTAGAAAGAAGCAAGAGGTTAAGAAATTCCTTGAATTAGCGCCTGGTGTGTCAGGTGGGAGTGCAGAGGAGGGCTGTTAAAGAGCGGTGTCAGAAGGACCCCGGTGGTCAGGTGGGTTGGACATCATTAATAATCATGGTTGGCTTCTAAATACTGGTAGCAAGATGACTTCTGATTTGTAATCTTAGGTAAATTATAGATAAATGAAAAAGGCCAGTAATCATACACTAAGATTAATAAACAGCACTTCAAAATTAACCGCATGAGGGCTGTGCTTGCAGCAGGGTTTCACAAGACAAGGCACCCAGATTTTTTCTTCCCACGTCTGGCTTGCAGAGCAGCTCTCGTGGCCATTTCAAAAACCTCCCTCACTCCATCTTTGGTCTTTGCTGAACACTCCATGTACCCAAAAGCACCAATCCTGTTCGCCATATCTCTGCCTTCTTCCGGTTTCACTGGCTCCTAGCAAAGAGAAAAGAACACTTTCAGTTAAGTATCACATATATGAAGTGTAGAGTACTCAAATTCAGCTTAAAAGGCTTCTTTAAAAAGCTGCCAATAATGATAGTGATAATAATAATAATAAAGAGCTGCCAAACCCAGATTTGAGTTCTGTCTTATGAAACTCACATGCAGTGACCCTCCCCATCCCCAATATAATATCCCTATTAAACAAGCCCTTCTCTGGGAAGTAGAGCGAAAAGAAGGAGAGGCCAGAGAAGCCTTGCAGGGTTGAGGAAGGAATCAAGGGAAAAATTATCCAATCTACTGATTCAGGGTAAGCACTGGGGTTCCTGTAGTTAGCTTCACAGAGGACTAAATGTCCAAGGAAGTAAACACATCCTGACCTGGTCGGAGAAACCTCAGTGGGAGAACCTGGACTAAAGACCCCATGGCTCTTGTCCTGCACGGTGGAAGCCCTGCCACTGGGCCACCTGGCTTCTCAGAAGCCAAGATGCCAACTCCAACATCACTTTTATAAAGACATCAGGGCTCTGTCTGGACTCCCTGTCATCAAGATTACCTGATCCTTTGGTTGCCACCAATTCAATCTTTGGCCTCATATATACCAAGGTAATAACTGGAGAGGGAAATCAAGAGCCTGATAAACTTCCTGCATTTGGAGCACTGACTACTGCTGCTGTTGGTCCCTGCTCCGGCAGGCACTCCTTGGAGGCACAGCGCTACCCCACAGGAGAGGTTCCCATGTCATATGAGTAGGGAGTCTTAGGGACCCTCTGTGTAGGCCCCAGTGAATGAGGGAAAGATGGAGAAAAACAGGTTTCTGGGACTTTCTCTGAAATAGCGTGGCTTATGAGAGTTTCCACTGGGCCCCCTGAACATCCAACCCTGGGTTCAAGAATGCTACAGGAAAAGAGCCCTGCCCCAGATCATGCCTGCTTCATCTTGGCCAGCTCCCGCCTTGTGTGCTCATCATTCCGAAGATCCTTCTTGTTCCCAACCAGGATGATGGGCACATTGGGGCAGAAGTGCTTGACTTCCGGAGTCCATTTTTCTGGGATGTTTTCTGAAAGAAGCAAAATACATACAAGATACATATAATTCTATCCTGAAGAATCTCTAAGAACCCTAGGTAAACTGCAAAGAAGCTACTTAAAAAGTATGCTGGACATTTAATGGAATCTCACTAGTTTTAAAACCACAGTAAAAGACAAAATCCCACCCCCTTCCCTTAAGCACAGAATCATCAGCTTTCCTCAGTTCCCACTAAAGAGCTCAGTTCTGTGGGAGTGGGACCCAGTTAAAGCCTCTGGAGGAGGAAAGGGTCCAGAACACAGGGTGGCTCCACAATGCTGCAACCTGACTGAGGAGGAAAGCTATCCATGGACCATCTCTGTCACTGCTAGCTAGTAACTCTGACCACATCTTACAGAAAAGGTCTCCATTCTAGGGCTACAGCTGGCCCAGGGTCCACATGGTTTCTCTACACCTTGCTTATGGACCTTCAGCATGACCCCCATCATGCTGGTTATTGGTATTTCAAATGAAAATGATTACCAGCTGTAGTTTCTTGCCAAAACTCTACTAATTTAGAAAGGTTGGACATACATCATGGTGTGTAAGTGGCCCGGGTTCAACCTCCCACACCTCTGCCTTGGGCATGATTTTACAAAATGGGGATAATAGTAATACTTACCTTACATAGGATTATTCTGAGTTCATGCATACAAAGTACTTAGTATGGCAATCATTTAAATGGTCTGCTTGGAGTCTATATTTTAGAGACAAACTGTTTGTTCTATGACTTCAAGACAAATTACCAAAAGGCAAGAATTACTCAGAATACAGAAAGATGGCCTGTCTTCTGGCTGAAAAACCACATCAGGTAAAGAAACTACATGAGTGAGGTTAGGAAACTCTCTTGTAATTCAATGCTCCACTCTTCAGCACCCAAGATTGACACTTGAATGCTTCCTTCTTCCTTTGCTATAGTAGCCACAGAGTTGATTATATCACTAATGTCATAACTTGATACTCAAAGGTTTGTTCTGAAACAGTTTCTCAAAGAAGTGCAGTGTTCCAGTCCTCAGAACAATAAAGAGTAAAGGGTCAGCACATCTAACAACAAAGCCAAACAGCCTCAGCCCTAAACCTTGCTCCTACCTGTGCACCTATGGTCAGTTCGGCTACAACAGAGATCACTTTATTTTTATTTTTTTTTCCATTTTTATTAAAAAAATTTTTTAGGGGCGCCTAGGTGGCTTAGTCGGTTAAGCGTCCGACTTTCGCTTAGGTCATGATCTCGCGGTTCATGGGTTCGAGCCCCGCGTTGGGCTCGGTGCTGACTGCCAGCTCAGAGCCTGGAGCCTGTTTCGGTCTGTGACTCCCTCTCTCTCTGACCCTCCCCTGCTCACGCTGTCTCTCTCTCTCCTAGAAATAAATAAAACATTAAAAAAAAAAAATTTTTTTTAAATGTTTATTTATTCTTGAGAGAGAGAAACAGAGCATGAGTGAGGGAGGAGCAGAGAGTGAGACACAGAATCTGAAGCAGGCTCCAGGCTCCAAGCTGTCAGCACAGAGCCTGACGTGGGGACTGAACGCACAAGCTGTGAGACTGTGACCTGAGCCAAAGTTGGACACTTAACTTAAAAGCTAAGTGAGAGGGGCGCCTGGGTCGCTCAGTCAGGTCATGATCTCATGGTTCGTGGGTTCGAGCCCTGTGTTGGGACTCTGTGC